AGACGGATTTTATAAAATAAAAAGCAGTTGAAACTGCATTTTTATAAATAAAAATTTGACAAACTAGTTATCGTTTTATGACGAGTAAAATTTTTTCGTCGCGTTTGCGGCTTTTAAGTAATGCATAAACCTTCCAGGCGCGAGGCCCTTCGGACCGCGAGGCATAGGCGGTGGCCTATGCCTCGCAGTCCACGTCGTCCATGCCTTACGCCGCCCTTGGTCAAAGAATTGATGTAATTTGAATATAAATTATTTATAAATACGTATATCAAGTTTTTTATTACTACGTAAAATATATTTAAGAGTTTACGACCACTGTGCTGGGTGAGACGTTGTTGAAACAAAAAAAGTTATGCATTCCAGTGCAAATCAGCAAATTCGTAAAATTTTTGTTTATTTTGAACAATCCGGATAATCGAAAATCCGGATAATGGAGGTCCGGATAATAGAGGTTCTACTGTAATTTGCAAGGAGATATTCTTTCAAGAATCCAACATAAAAATAAATTTACTACATTGACTTCAGGAAAAAAAAAAAAAACAAATCTGATCTCAAATGTAGTTAACATGTATTACTATTATTATATATAATTACTACAAGAAAAATAAATAGAAAAAAATTTAAACAATTCATTTTTATACTTAAGGAAATATCCTTGTAAATCTAGTTTTGTGAGGGGAAAGAATTTAAATATTTATAAGATGAATAATTTTATTTAAAAAAAGAGGAAAATAAAATTTACTAGAATAAAAATACTCAACAAAATGTAGTTAAGAAATACATATATGCAGTCCTATATCATTCTGTTTGCTCTATATTTGTTGAGAAATTCAATTTTATTCCTATTCTAAAGCCAACAATTCTTAGGATTTTCATTCTTTTCATCACTGTATAACCTTATTAAACCATAATAATAAAAAATAAATCTGTTTATATACTTAACCTAATTAGAACTTAATTGATAAACTAGGTAAAAATCTGATTGATTTAATTAAAAATTGGTTCAAAACTTATTTTCCTCTTCTTCAACTAACTGAAAATTATGAAAAAAAAAATATATATATATTCTGCTTACATTTAATACCAATTTTAATCTGTTTGTAGTGTATTAAAAATAAGACCAAGAAAGAAAATTTAATATTTGTAATATATTCTTTTATTGATGTACAAAATGAATAAAAATTCATCTACATTGTTGTTTGATCCTTACTTTCTAACTTGTGATGAAAATTATATAATTCTTTCAAAAAACTTTTGTTTCGTTTAAATTTAATTAAATTTTTCTAAAGACACAATTATTTTTTATTTTGTACTTTGAAAAATTCTGTTATGTATTCCCTTTTATATAATATTTATTATTAACATATTAAATTAAAATTTAATTCTTAAATAACCTAAATTATTTTATAATAAAACAATGTTAAAAAGTACATAAAATTATTCATTTTTTTTAGCAAATTTTTCAATAATTAATCAGTTTGGCAACCAGTTATTGTTAATTTTTCCATAAAGGTATATATATGTATATATATATTTTAATAAGATGAAAATTATATTGTTTTTCTTTAATTTATTCTTCTTTTTTTGTAGAGAAACGTTTACAAATTAATTTATTAACTGTAAAAGAAAAAATGTTTGTAAACAGTTCAAGTTTTCATCAGTTTTATTTTATTTAAAATATATTTTCTGATGATCCATCTTAATCAGAAAAAAATGTTAGTTTACTTTATATATTTATTATGTATAATATATTTATAATTTCACCATGTTTTTGCTAAATAAGACTTCTGTACACTGACTTGAAAATAACTTAAAATTGCATTGTACAATGTTTTAATGTGATCATTTTAAAAGAAAATTTTGTTTTCTTTATTAATGTTGAATTTTTATTTTATTTCTTGTAGATTGATTTTATTTTGTTTAAACTACGGTTGACTTTAACAGCTAAATAAACGAGCCAATACCATAGTCAGTTTCATATTAAAAAGAAGTAAACAAACCAATAAAATAGTCAGTTTCATACGAAACGGACTATTTTATTGGTTTGTTTACTTATTTATTAAAAGCCTCTTGTATTTAAAGTGCTTTATATAATATTGAGTAACTTGTTCGTAAATAATTAAATACACTTGTAAATTGTTTTTTAATATTGGTCTAGATAATATACTAAATAAATGAGCGTTACATTAATTAATTATCATTGTATAAATTTAAATGACGTATTTCCTTTTTTTTTTAACGTATTACTCTAACCTTGTTTAACAAACAAAATGGCCGCGTTACCATAGTAACCAGATTTATTAGAAGATCGATTTTCCGGTTTATTTGACATTTAATTAAAGCAAAATAAGAAGTTTCCTTCATACCTGATACTTAAATTCCGTTTGTAGAATGTTACGAATTCCATTTATTAAGAATTTTAAAGACTTTTGTGTAATTACTTAAACGACTTATCCGAGATAATAGTTCGAAACATAACCACTTGGAGTCTATTTAAAATTTTTATTATTATTATTATTTTTAATTGCTTGTTTATTCAAAACAATTTAAATATTTTAATATTACTATTTCTTTAAATAATTATATTATTATATTTTAATAGATATTATTTAATAACTTTCATGATTAAATATCGCCATCACGTGACTTACCTAATCGTCGATTTATTATGCAAATTAGTTATGTTTAAATACTTCATTTAATTGATTTCAATTTATTTCATTTTGCATGCTTGATTAAAATCAATTATAATTTTTATTATTTAATAAATATTATTATTAAATTCCTGAATTGCCACGATTAAACTTTATTCCGAATGCACTGGACGCTTCATTAGCATTTAATTACTTGGAAACTCTTGCAGCTATCTTAAGATATCGCTGAAAAAGTCTCGAAATTCACGAATTTATGGCTTTTTAATGGGTTAAAAAATAATTTATTGCAGAGTTTAAATACTTTATAACTTAATAAAACAAGAGTCCGAAAATGTGATATAAATTTAATTTATTCTCGGAAGTTAGCTGCTAATTTGTAATTTTTAAGCTCACGCTTCGCAATTTATTTACAGAAAAAATTAATTAAATTTTTAATAACAATTTAAAAAATGGGAAGAATTGACACGATTTAATTTTTTTTTTATTATTAACATTAAACGCGACGGCATATTAAATACAACTCAGCAAGGATCTTGATATTAACACCGATCATCATCATTCTACAGATTATAAAACTTAACAATATTGTACAAAACATATTATTCTAGTTTATTCTCGAGTTTAAAATGTAAATTTTCATGATTAAAATTCAATTTATGATCTAAATGCAAGTTTAAGTAGTCAAAGATCTCATTAACGAGTCAAATTCCCGATGCCAATTTAAACATTTGCTGTGATAACACCCAAACTCTCAGTGCATTGCAACTAGGTTTTTTGAATTTAATATATATTAATATATAAACAAAACATAGTTTTGTAACTTTATCTTAAATTTAATTATTAACATTGAAATTTTCATAATTAAAACGCTTAAGTTTAAATTTGAAGAGTTTCATGACATTAAACTTGACGCAGTATATTCATGGTTTAAATTCCCAAGCAAAGATGGCTTAGTATATTTGAAGATAAAATATTATTCTAAGCTATTTTTGGATTTAAAAACTTACCTTTATTTATGCTAAAATATTGTATATTTCAACTCGTACGATCAAATGTTTAAATTCCTCGAGGCACAAGCATCCACCGTTATTCTATCTCGATGGACAGTCGCCAAAAAATCGTAAGATTATATGATTTTTCAAGCGAATGTTTTTTTTTACTATGGTCTACTTAAAAGTCATCTTTTCTTTCTCTTAATAATATTCAAAACACGACAGAATATAAATTTACTTTATGTAGACAATTCGAAACTACTTAGTGGCACTTTGCAATTTAAGCAGAATTTACGAGTATGGTTGATGTTACCATCCTTTTATGCCTTCATTTCCCAGTAAAAATATGCGTTTAACAATAAGAGCATTCTAACAAAAGAGAAGAGAGACTATTCACATCGATTTTCGATCAAATTTTTAAATAAAACATCCCACGTTAAATCTTGAAAAAAATTTTTAATCCTATTCTCTGTAAACACCTCAACTTTTCATAAATGAGATTTTCTTACTAGCGCCAAGAAAACATTTTCTTTTTTAAAATTTTAGGTGTATAATTCCAAACTGTAAGTTGAAATCTTATTTTGAAAAAAAAATATACGAAAGCTTAAATAATGGTAAAACTTGAAAAAAATCCCGCTCCATCTTTACCACATTTATAACTGGTTGCCATGTTTTCATACATTTTACACAATTCTAATATTACTAATTTTTGTGTATATATATATAGTTTCTTAATACAATTTTTATTGCTTTGATGTATATAACTAACTCTAATATTTTTTATTTTATTCCAAAAGATTATCTATATACAATCTCGATCACTTATATTACACAAAATTCGACTAGTAATATTGATATATACTGTATATATATATATATTACTGTATATATATATATAATTTATAAACCAAGAAAGAAAGCTTTATATCTTTTTTTTTAATGGACGGACAGTGTGCATTATTGTAGATTAGTGCAAGAAGATTGGGTTTTTTGTTTTTTGTTTTTTTATTATTTTCATTCCTTGGCAGTAAATGCTAGAGATATGTATATTGTAAGAAGACAACTAATAGAAAAAGCAGTATTTAACGTTTTTTTCAGTATTTCTGCCGTTATTTTCTGTTATATAATGCAAAAAAATTCAGGAACTGATTTCCTAGAAAAAATTTCTCCTAGCTACTTAAAACTGTTTTCCTAAAAAAAGAAATTTGCTACAATCTTCATGGCGACTTGATAAGTGTCTTTTGGATAAAAGCCAATTTCTCTTCCAAAGATTTCTTTTCTCTTAAAGCTTCTTGTAATCGGTTCATCAACGTTCGTTCCGACGTCTGCCACAATCTGATGATATCCTCTTTGGTCATCGAGTATAACCTTAACTCGTCGTATCTTCTTATTGGATATTCTTCGAGATAATCGTTGGATGACTTCTGCTCATTCTGCTCGTTTTCCGAATCCAAACCCCTTTTCAGGAAAGTGAGATCGTCGAAAGACCAAACTCTTTGCTTGCTACTCTTCAATGGCGCACCGTTGCAATCTTTCGGGATCTTGGTTAAATCGTTTAAACTTAAACTTATGATGACACTGTAACCATGATGATCCATGGATACTGAGCTTAAAGAGGATGTAGTTGGGCACGTGGATACAATGCTGAGTTCGGAATCCGATTGGTAAGACTCTATTAACTTTGTCCTGACGTTGACGCTATCGTCTGAATACGGTTCGTGTTTTAATGGAATGATACGTCTGGGATCATCGGCGTGTTTACGGTACCTGGACTTATCGAAATTCTCTTCAGAATGTACAATAACTTGTTCAATTCCGTCGTCTGTATCCTGCTCGGAAGGCGATGTCAGACGGACTTCTACCTCGTCCGAATTTGGAGTCTTCGTATCGTTTTGCTGTTTGGCACTGGTTAAAAAAGAATTAAAAATTAAAAAAAAATTATAAACGAATTCGATATGGATCTTTCCCAAATGACAATTTAATTATATCAAAAAATAAAAAAGTTAAGCAACACTCACACTTTTCTTATTTCTTGTATCATCTCGAAAAATTGCGATTTACTTTTTCGTCTTCTAGCTTCTTCTTTTATTTTCTTTAAAATAAAAAAAAGAAGAAAAGAGAGAAAATATATTGATCAGAAAAGTCATTTATAGCAGCTAGTATCAAAATGGCGATTTAAGCAAAATCTTTGAAATATCGATTCGAGTTTTTCTTTTCTAAATAAGCTTTTAAGACGACAATTTCGTCAATATATATATATATATATATATTTTATTTCCGAAATTTAAAATACTTTTATTTATTTATTTGTAAAAATTCATATTATTTTATACAATTTTATTTAATATAAAAAATCCAGAATTTTATCATTGGATTCACGAAATCGAATGGATTCGTAAATTCCAAAATTGGATTCACTTTTCTTAGAAATTTTCTCATTGTGCTAATTCATTATTTTACTAATGATGATTTGCAATTTAATTATATTATGGTCTCGATTAGTAAATAATTATGAGCTCCACTTATTACAAATTATTCAGTTTTGCTAATCATCATTAAGGTCCAGTTATATATATATATAACTTTTGTTAATTAGGAAACTTTTACTTTCTTTACTTTCTTTAGCGCTTAAACTTTGTTACAAGATATAAATTAAACTTTTCCAGTGCATATCTTAGATACAATCTTCGTTGGTGCAGTATTATATACATTGCACTTTCTAAAATGCATTACCTAGGGACTTTTATTATCTGAAAACTTAATCTAATAGCCTTTTATGTGTAGTATCTTATAACTACTATCAACAACTTTATATATTACACCTCATAAATTTAGAAATTACATCTTACACTTTATAAATATGATTTAATGTATTATTATTGTTAAAGTTTATCATTGCAAATATGCAAATATATTTGTTCAGTATCCAAACTGATAAAACCACTATTTTTTATTTTTTATAAATTAAGAGTTTTAAAACATTTTAGCAACATTTAATTTCATTATTTTTTTCAGTAAAATTTGATGAATTTTTTTATATATTTAGATATTCTACTAATATAAAATTATGTATTGAAAAAGTTATATAAACTATTATAAAATTTATAAATAAGGTTATTTATAAAAAATATTTTATAAGTACTTTATATTCTATTTATAAAACATCATAAAAATATTAAAATATTGCGAGAATTTTTACATTTTACTTCACTCAAACGTGTGGCTAACGTATACATAAAGTACGTATTCAAATATCAATTATATTTAAATTAAAAAAAATCATTTAATATATTAATAGAAATCACTTAATAACAATATTTTTTTTAAAAAAATAAACAAAATATTATTTGTCGATAGAAACAATAAAATTCAATGTTGATATAAAATCTTTATCATTCTGTCACGAAGAAAAACAATGGCAGACAGCAGATGATGTTAAATCAATCGACCAGAACAAGATAAACAATTTGCGATTATTGGAATGTTTATATATATAAACTTCAATTCTACATAGAGCCATAAATATACTGTATTTCTAAATAGAAGATGATGTAGTAAAGTTAGTGCATCATTTTTAATGCATAGAACATGAATGGAGAAAATATTATTTATTTGTATTAAGCTATATAAATTCTCATTAAATAAGATTTTTTGGTAAAATATTTTATCCTTTCTTTACCTCTTTTAAGAAAATTTTATACAACCAAATAGTGTAAATAAATATTTTGCATGATTCACGAACGTCATTTGGATAGAAGCCAAATGGTTTATGGTGCAACAACAGAGTACTTCAATAATAATTATTATTTTATCAACTTGTAAAGAGTCAAATTAAAGATTAAGTAAATTGGAAAAATAATTTGCAATTTTTGTTGCTATTTTTAGCTTGTTTAAGAACACGAGACGATCGGATAATTCAGAGAAGAATTTGAAGCTAAAGTAATGTTACACTCAACGTAACTGTACTCTTTACTAAAGTTAAAAATATCATGGTTATAATTGTTAAAATTATTTTACAAGATAGTAGAGAAGTTAAACAATAAAACGGAAGTAAAATCGCAATTAAAATAAATTGCATATTTTAATTGTTTAATTAAAAGTTTTGTAGTAAAGGAATGAGTCGAAAATTAATTGAAGGTTAATCAAGTGTAAGTAAGTTATGAGACGTTTAACGAATAAAATTTAAATTGTTGTTAAAGAGAATTTAAAAGTTAATTTATAAAATGCAAATTTATAAATTTAATTAAAGAAATAAAATTTATTTTAAGAAAAAAGTAAAGGAAAACTGTTTGTTTATATCCTTCCACATGATCTTTATTCCACATAGAAAAGGATAAGTTAGGAATTTTCTGATTTCTTGGAACTCGATAATTTCAAACTATAATATTTTATACAATTCTCAACGTATTTTCTTGTCTACTTTTCTATATAAGTTCAAAAAATAAATAAAATAAAATAAATTTATAGATAAATATAGGATAGTCTAAACCCATATTCTTGTTAAATGTTAGCAAAACGATCGCCTTCATTATTTTCTTTTTTAATGAATTACGTGAAAATAAACTGCAATTAATCTTCTTCTGGTTAAATTACGCCAAAAGCTAATGTTAAAACAACTTTAATTACATTTATAGCTATGTGGTTTTAACTTTTTGTAAATTGCTTAAGTTTATATGAACGATTAAAAGTCATTATCTTAAACATGTTTCTGTGTTCATTATCTGAACAAAATTTAACTTAATACAGAATAAACATATAATATCAGGTTCTTTATATAAATATGACTTTTATTAATGTTAATTAACCTTTTTATTGAATATATCCTTATATATATATTTTTTAAATTTCAAATGTTAATTATATTTATCCTTAAGAATATTTGTAATTTATAATATTTTCATGAAAATCTTTAAGAATTTTTCTACAGAATATTCTGATACAATTCGTTACATTTGCTTTATCATATAATCCTGATATTAAATTTTAACAACATTCTCATAATGTTAGAATATATACGACCTTTTTTTTATAATAAACATAAAATACAGTTTAAAAACGCAGTATATTAAAATTCTTTAATGCATCTGCTCATTGCATTAAATATTCTCCACTTTTCTTCTCCGGTCAGTTATACATAAACACATTAGCAACACATTCATATTAAATCAAATTTTTAATGAATTAACTCTTCTATTTTTACTCGACCGCCATGAAAAATATTCGCTGTTATAGTCTGCGATACTTTCATGAAGGTCCTCAAGAAAATTTCTAAGAATCTTCAAGAATTTCTCTGCAAAAACATCTGATATCCTGTATTATAATTTATATGTAAATAAGCAACGAGAATATAAGCAAACATTTTTGGTCTCGTGAGAATATTCATTAACTCCTGAATGTCGATCATGAATAATTAATATTCGAAATTTAATACTGTATTTTATTCGGGCATTATTTAATCGAAACTAGAAAACTTTTAACTATATTGTAATCAATTTGCGTACACGTTCGGTCAAATGTATCGATTTTAAATGATGGTATAACACGATCTACGTCATTTAAAATGCGAATATTTACATATATAAACGCCATATTTACCTTCTTAACGCTTTTCTGAAACAAGCTTGCTATCTGCCCTTCTCTTAGGTTAGTCACAATTTCTTTAGCAGAATGATGGGGTGAAACTAATTCGACGGTGTTAATAAAACGATACAACTTCTGTCAATGAAAAGAGGTTAACGTCATTAGTGACATTCTAATAATATCTCAAAAAAAATCGATAAAAATAAAATTATCTCCTTCCACCCTCTTAAATCGTTTGATTACATTTAATAATAGTAACTTAAATTTATTGTTTCTTATATGAATTATCTGCATATTCAATGGCTTGTCAGATGTACTAAATTGGTTCAACGTTATTTTTTTAACATTTTAATCAATTTTCAAACGACATAATGAGGTTTAAAAATCGAAAAAAGTTATGATGTGAAAGAGAATTAATTTTTTAAAATCAATATTACTTTACATGGCTTGATCTTAATTAGCAGATTTAAGTGTATCTTTGTTTTTTCTTATCTAAAAAAAAGCACACCGAGAAAGGAGATAAGTCTTACTGTATTTTTAAGTGCTGTAAAATTTAGTAATAAAATATCACCGAACATGAGTAATTGTGTGCTTAAAGCTTTAATACGCTTATAATTTCTTTCTCGCCAATCAAATAAAATATAAAAAATACAGATATTTATTTTAAACTTTTATATTTCTGTTCTGACCACTAGGTGGCCAACGTCCACTTGTTCGATTGGTTGAAATTAAGGCGCTAGATTACCCAGGTATGCTCATACGCTTCCGTCACGTGTGCAGCCATATTGGTCCTTTTGACGTCATATTCCAAGATTTTTAAATTTAGCTGTATTTTATAACTAGTTGCACTAAATTTTGGCAAAGTTTATCATTTCGACCTTGCAAAATCAGTTGAATTTATGATTATTTTCGTGTGTCTTCTATTGAACTTCTACGAGAGTCGTCTGCTTTCTAAGGACCAACATGGCGGATGAGCATACCTGGGTTATCTAGCGCCTTAGTTGAAATAGAGCGGAAATTTACGTACATCTGACGTCATTGTTTAAAATTTCTCGTTGTAAAATATGACGTCAAGTTGCGGTGAAAGTTATAATTTAAAATCACTGGTGTGTTTAAATAAAAATATTAATTTAAACTAGCTTTTCAGTATTAAAATTTAAAAATATTTTTAAAATGTTCATATATTTATTTGACTTACCTGACTGAAGAACATTAAATTTGGACTTCTCCAAAAACAATCTTTGGGCTTCTTCCTGAGAGCAGGTAAAGCATATTTGAATACTAAATGCTCGAGTACAAGGATCACAATACCTACAAGGATCCCTATACCTAGCATAATGAAGACACCAGCTAGTGCCTGTATACTAAGAGGCAAAGGTTTATTAAGTCTATGTACAGAATCTTCGAAACAAGGCACTCTTCCATACCATTTTTTTTGAAGTTGGTCCAAGTATCCAAATTCATTGTACTTCAGTATCAATTTAGATATGGAATCCTAATAAATTTATTTTTTATTTAGTTAAAATATAATAGTAAAAATTTATTCTTTAAAAAAATGTATTTTATGAATGGTATAATTCAACAAATGAAAACAAACAAATGATGAAACATAATAAAACATTTACATTAACATCATGCTCTTGTAATAATTGAAATTAAAGTGCAAAACTTCACATTTCTATAGAACAAATTATGCAAAAATATCTTAAACCAGTCATAGATGAATTGGATTGACTGAAGAAGGAAATGCAACTCATGGGCGATCTGCCAAGAGCCCATGGATATTGGTTGGCCGTGAAGGAAGCGTGAAAACTCCACGCGTTTAGACCTTTGGTCAGCCAAACCGGGAACCAACTTGCCAGTGTTCAGTAGGTTTATCCACTCGGCTACTGATGGCTATCCATAGGTGCATAGATACATTCGAAACTCAAAATTTTCCATTTAATACAAAGTTTAAAGACGAGTTTAAACTTTTACCAGAAATTTGCTTTATATTTCAGGTAAAAACTATCGATGGCGTTAGTCCGGGATTTAGGGTTCTAGGTCATCTAGGTCCTAGGCTTTAGAGGCCATCCGTCCCAGGTTCCACGTACTATGATATTTACATAACATTCACATTTATGTACACATTTTAACATAACTCGAATTACTGCTTCAATATATTTGAAATGTTTAGTTATAATTTGTTACATAATAAATCTATACACTAAGAAGAGGAAAATAAGGCGTAGATTTTAAAATTTTGTGCCCTGGGCTAGGGCCCATCTATAAATCCGGCACTGGATAAAGATAATTAATACATTATGAGGTTAAATTATCAGTAGTTAATGATTTAAGAAAAGCAATAATCCAAACAAAAATGTGAGATGTAAAACTTGCGGGAAGAAAAAGTTATGACAATTTGGACGACAGTCTAAAAAAAATTTTTTTTTGGAGTTTTTCTTTGGCAAAGATAAGCCAGGCACTTTGAAGCGAAATGTAAAAAACATTAATACAGGTAAAAACCTTGTGGATAACTCTTCGAAATGCCAAGCTTATCTTTAACAGAGAAAAGCTTCGAAGAAAAAAAATTTGATGATATCCATATTGTCATAAGTTTTTACTAGCACAATTTTTACATCTCAGATGTTTTTGTTTGCATATCAATTGCTTTTCGGTTAATGATTGCATTATTACATCGAGACCTAAGACTGTGAAGTGTTGTACAGTTCGGTCGGCACCAATGCTTTCAATACGCCATTTAGTAAAATCGTTATAAAAACTTTTAGTTCGCATAGATTTGAGCTTTTGTTGTTTTAGATAACATTTTAAATAAAAATCATTTATTTCCATACAATTTTAATACAATTCCTTACAAATGTAAAATTAAGTGATAAAAAGAAAATAGCTCTATGACGAACTAATGTGAACTTTGACCTATCGACCCGGAAGTTTTGCCTGCACCTCACTGATAACGAGAGAGGCATAAGTTTAAAATTTGAGTCTTCTAAACCCATTAACTTTTTTTCTCTAGAAGCGTCTGCACTGCCGGATGAAGAAAAGAAGAAAATACAGCTTTTTTGGCGATTTTTGCACTTTTCGATTGCTTATATTTCAATAACCCCTGTATAAAAACCCTGAGATTTTGCATACTACCTAAGAAAACACGTATCTTTCGAACGAGATATTCATACTTACTATAGACGTTAAGGAATAGGTGAAAAAATAGACCTCTGAAATTCGGCATCCCTGTTTCCTGTCAGTGAGTTTTTCACTTAGTATCAGAGTCTCTGCCGCGTTTCTCAATTAAAAAAGGAAATAAGGAACTGTCATTAATCTTCAATTTATTAATTTAAAACTAGTTTTCCAACGACAACTTAAACCTTCTGTTCATCAAATTTTTTAAAACCAACCACAAACCCTGGGCTTAAAATAGCAATTATTTTACTGACTTCTTTTTACATTATTGACAACAGAATGCATTCGAGGTTTTTCTAATACCTCTTCAGACAATTTTATATGTTATTAATTATTGCTGTGTACATTTCTTTCTTTCTTAATTTATTGATAAGATATTGTCTGTTTTTTCCACAGTTCACAATTCTCGTTAGGAAATTAATGAAAAGCCAATACCCCTAAATTGCCGTATTATTGATCATTTGTTGGTTAGAAAGATATAAATAAAATATTACATAAAATATTTTTATTTTGTGAGTTTCTTCTATATTAAATATTAAATGAACGGTGCAGTCGTATGACCGGCCCATCCACCAGTGGCCAAACGGTTCCATTCCCTGAACACTGGTAGTTCGGTCGTGGGTTCGCATCCTCGCCAGGTTGGGGTGGCTACGTGGAGTTTACCGGATTTTCTCCAACGTCTGTAACGCCTAAATAGGGCCAGTTACCCTTTAAAGGACCTCCCGGAACGCATTCCTTCTAGGCAGATCGCCCTAATGTTGCGTTGCCACAAATCCACAAACAAACAGTTGTATGACGAAGAAGTAAAGGCATTAGTTTGACTCTTCTGGGAACCGAATTCGAATTTCGGTCGGATCCTCAAGAGTTTTGGAGGTCATCTGACGCATCTGGATGAAGCCATTTATAAAATCTATCAATGATTACAAAACGTCTATAATGAGATTGGCCAAATGGTGAGAAACAGAGCTTAACCGGTTTCCATCTTTCATCATCCATCTTATCATTGTAGAATTTTTTTGTGGCGGTAAAGATGTCAACCTGCCGCTCTGGGAGATCCGGAATTTAATCCTGGCAGAGAATCCTACGAATTTTTTAAGAAGGTCTTTCCCGAATAAGCCTAACCGAATCCACGATTGGTAGAACAAAAAGCCTCTTTAGTGCCTATGTTATGGACTAAGTGATTAATACAGGCGTTATGAATAATGCCCGCTCATTATGAATAACGACGTATAAAATCAGGCACTGTAATAAATTTCAGGTGTTTTAACATAATTTATTAGATTGACTGGTCATTATGAAAACTGCTATCACTTCTATTAATCACTTGGTCCATAACATCTGTGAAACGAAAAGAAATAACCATAAAGGCTATGAAAACATGTATAGAGACAATAAGATCCTTAATATCGAATATTTTCAATGTAAATTCGGCACAGAAAACCTTATTGGCCTCAAGATAAAAAGTTTCAAAAAATTTGACTTAAAGTAATTAAATTTTGGCAACAAATAGTCAATAGCGCAAAGAAATAAAATGCAAATAATATGAATAAACAAAACTTAATTTTAATCCAAAATTTTATAAAACAATAGTATATAGGTCTATATGTTGCCATGCTAAATAAACGACGGTCGGATAACAGAGCGGTTAAGATGGCTTTGGGGAGACCGAGATTTAATCTGAACGGGTCAGAAAACCCCAAATTTTTGGGAATAGTCCGCCCGGGTCGAGCTCCGTTCCTCACTACCTGGTAGGGTTGCCACCTCAGAACTTAGTCTCGCCCGGANGCAATTTATTTACAGAAAAAATTAATTAAATTTTTAATAACAATTTAAAAAATGGGAAGAATTGACACGATTTAATTTTTTTTTTATTATTAACATTAAACGCGACGGCATATTAAATACAACTCAGCAAGGATCTTGATATTAACACCGATCATCATCATTCTACAGATTATAAAACTTAACAATATTGTACAAAACATATTATTCTAGTTTATTCTCGAGTTTAAAATGTAAATTTTCATGATTAAAATTCAATTTATGATCTAAATGCAAGTTTAAGTAGTCAAAGATCTCATTAACGAGTCAAATTCCCGATGCCAATTTAAACATTTGCTGTGATAACACCCAAACTCTCAGTGCATTGCAACTAGGTTTTTTGAATTTAATATATATTAATATATAAACAAAACATAGTTTTGTAACTTTATCTTAAATTTAATTATTAACATTGAAATTTTCATAATTAAAACGCTTAAGTTTAAATTTGAAGAGTTTCATGACATTAAACTTGACGCAGTATATTCATGGTTTAAATTCCCAAGCAAAGATGGCTTAGTATATTTGAAGATAAAATATTATTCTAAGCTATTTTTGGATTTAAAAACTTACCTTTATTTATGCTAAAATATTGTATATTTCAACTCGTACGATCAAATGTTTAAATTCCTCGAGGCACAAGCATCCACCGTTATTCTATCTCGATGGACAGTCGCCAAAAAATCGTAAGATTATATGATTTTTCAAGCGAATGTTTTTTTTTACTATGGTCTACTTAAAAGTCATCTTTTCTTTCTCTTAATAATATTCAAAACACGACAGAATATAAATTTACTTTATGTAGACAATTCGAAACTACTTAGTGGCACTTTGCAATTTAAGCAGAATTTACGAGTATGGTTGATGTTACCATCCTTTTATGCCTTCATTTCCCAGTAAAAATATGCGTTTAACAATAAGAGCATTCTAACAAAAGAGAAGAGAGACTATTCACATCGATTTTCGATCAAATTTTTAAATAAAACATCCCACGTTAAATCTTGAAAAAAATTTTTAATCCTATTCTCTGTAAACACCTCAACTTTTCATAAATGAGATTTTCTTACTAGCGCCAAGAAAACATTTTCTTTTTTAAAATTTTAGGTGTATAATTCCAAACTGTAAGTTGAAATCTTATTTTGAAAAAAAAATATACGAAAGCTTAAATAATGGTAAAACTTGAAAAAAATCCCGCTCCATCTTTACCACATTTATAACTGGTTGCCATGTTTTCATACATTTTACACAATTCTAATATTACTAATTTTTGTGTATATATATATAGTTTCTTAATACAATTTTTATTGCTTTGATGTATATAACTAACTCTAATATTTTTTATTTTATTCCAAAAGATTATCTATATACAATCTCGATCACTTATATTACACAAAATTCGACTAGTAATATTGATATATACTGTATATATATATATATTACTGTATATATATATATAATTTATAAACCAAGAAAGAAAGCTTTATATCTTTTTTTTTAATGGACGGACAGTGTGCATTATTGTAGATTAGTGCAAGAAGATTGGGTTTTTTGTTTTTTGTTTTTTTATTATTTTCATTCCTTGGCAGTAAATGCTAGAGATATGTATATTGTAAGAAGACAACTAATAGAAAAAGCAGTATTTAACGTTTTTTTCAGTATTTCTGCCGTTATTTTCTGTTATATAATGCAAAAAAATTCAGGAACTGATTTCCTAGAAAAAATTTCTCCTAGCTACTTAAAACTGTTTTCCTAAAAAAAGAAATTTGCTACAATCTTCATGGCGACTTGATAAGTGTCTTTTGGATAAAAGCCAATTTCTCTTCCAAAGATTTCTTTTCTCTTAAAGCTTCTTGTAATCGGTTCATCAACGTTCGTTCCGACGTCTGCCACAATCTGATGATATCCTCTTTGGTCATCGAGTATAACCTTAACTCGTCGTATCTTCTTATTGGATATTCTTCGAGATAATCGTTGGATGACTTCTGCTCATTCTGCTCGTTTTCCGAATCCAAACCCCTTTTCAGGAAAGTGAGATCGTCGAAAGACCAAACTCTTTGCTTGCTACTCTTCAATGGCGCACCGTTGCAATCTTTCGGGATCTTGGTTAAATCGTTTAAACTTAAACTTATGATGACACTGTAACCATGATGATCCATGGATACTGAGCTTAAAGAGGATGTAGTTGGGCACGTGGATACAATGCTGAGTTCGGAATCCGATTGGTAAGACTCTATTAACTTTGTCCTGACGTTGACGCTATCGTCTGAATACGGTTCGTGTTTTAATGGAATGATACGTCTGGGATCATCGGCGTGTTTACGGTACCTGGACTTATCGAAATTCTCTTCAGAATGTACAATAACTTGTTCAATTCCGTCGTCTGTATCCTGCTCGGAAGGCGATGTCAGACGGACTTCTACCTCGTCCGAATTTGGAGTCTTCGTATCGTTTTGCTGTTTGGCACTGGTTAAAAAAGAATTAAAAATTAAAAAAAAATTATAAACGAATTCGATATGGATCTTTCCCAAATGACAATTTAATTATATCAAAAAATAAAAAAGTTAAGCAACACTCACACTTTTCTTATTTCTTGTATCATCTCGAAAAATTGCGATTTACTTTTTCGTCTTCTAGCTTCTTCTTTTATTTTCTTTAAAATAAAAAAAAGAAGAAAAGAGAGAAAATATATTGATCAGAAAAGTCATTTATAGCAGCTAGTATCAAAATGGCGATTTAAGCAAAATCTTTGAAATATCGATTCGAGTTTTTCTTTTCTAAATAAGCTTTTAAGACGACAATTTCGTCAATATATATATATATATATATATTTTATTTCCGAAATTTAAAATACTTTTATTTATTTATTTGTAAAAATTCATATTATTTTATACAATTTTATTTAATATAAAAAATCCAGAATTTTATCATTGGATTCACGAAATCGAATGGATTCGTAAATTCCAAAATTGGATTCACTTTTCTTAGAAATTTTCTCATTGTGCTAATTCATTATTTTACTAATGATGATTTGCAATTTAATTATATTATGGTCTCGATTAGTAAATAATTATGAGCTCCACTTATTACAAATTATTCAGTTTTGCTAATCATCATTAAGGTCCAGTTATATATATATATAACTTTTGTTAATTAGGAAACTTTTACTTTCTTTACTTTCTTTAGCGCTTAAACTTTGTTACAAGATATAAATTAAACTTTTCCAGTGCATATCTTAGATACAATCTTCGTTGGTGCAGTATTATATACATTGCACTTTCTAAAATGCATTACCTAGGGACTTTTATTATCTGAAAACTTAATCTAATAGCCTTTTATGTGTAGTATCTTATAACTACTATCAACAACTTTATATATTACACCTCATAAATTTAGAAATTACATCTTACACTTTATAAATATGATTTAATGTATTCAAGAAGATTGGGTTTTTTGTTTTTTGTTTTTTTATTATTTTCATTCCTTGGCAGTAAATGCTAGAGATATGTATATTGTAAGAAGACAACTAATAGAAAAAGCAGTATTTAACGTTTTTTTCAGTATTTCTGCCGTTATTTTCTGTTATATAATGCAAAAAAATTCAGGAACTGATTTCCTAGAAAAAATTTCTCCTAGCTACTTAAAACTGTTTTCCTAAAAAAAGAAATTTGCTACAATCTTCATGGCGACTTGATAAGTGTCTTTTGGATAAAAGCCAATTTCTCTTCCAAAGATTTCTTTTCTCTTAAAGCTTCTTGTAATCGGTTCATCAACGTTCGTTCCGACGTCTGCCACAATCTGATGATATCCTCTTTGGTCATCGAGTATAACCTTAACTCGTCGTATCTTCTTATTGGATATTCTTCGAGATAATCGTTGGATGACTTCTGCTCATTCTGCTCGTTTTCCGAATCCAAACCCCTTTTCAGGAAAGTGAGATCGTCGAAAGACCAAACTCTTTGCTTGCTACTCTTCAATGGCGCACCGTTGCAATCTTTCGGGATCTTGGTTAAATCGTTTAAACTTAAACTTATGATGACACTGTAACCATGATGATCCATGGATACTGAGCTTAAAGAGGATGTAGTTGGGCACGTGGATACAATGCTGAGTTCGGAATCCGATTGGTAAGACTCTATTAACTTTGTCCTGACGTTGACGCTATCGTCTGAATACGGTTCGTGTTTTAATGGAATGATACGTCTGGGATCATCGGCGTGTTTACGGTACCTGGACTTATCGAAATTCTCTTCAGAATGTACAATAACTTGTTCAATTCCGTCGTCTGTATCCTGCTCGGAAGGCGATGTCAGACGGACTTCTACCTCGTCCGAATTTGGAGTCTTCGTATCGTTTTGCTGTTTGGCACTGGTTAAAAAAGAATTAAAAATTAAAAAAAAATTATAAACGAATTCGATATGGATCTTTCCCAAATGACAATTTAATTATATCAAAAAATAAAAAAGTTAAGCAACACTCACACTTTTCTTATTTCTTGTATCATCTCGAAAAATTGCGATTTACTTTTNAATTATGTATTGAAAAAGTTATATAAACTATTATAAAATTTATAAATAAGGTTATTTATAAAAAATATTTTATAAGTACTTTATATTCTATTTATAAAACATCATAAAAATATTAAAATATTGCGAGAATTTTTACATTTTACTTCACTCAAACGTGTGGCTAACGTATACATAAAGTACGTATTCAAATATCAATTATATTTAAATTAAAAAAAATCATTTAATATATTAATAGAAATCACTTAATAACAATATTTTTTTTAAAAAAATAAACAAAATATTATTTGTCGATAGAAACAATAAAATTCAATGTTGATATAAAATCTTTATCATTCTGTCACGAAGAAAAACAATGGCAGACAGCAGATGATGTTAAATCAATCGACCAGAACAAGATAAACAATTTGCGATTATTGGAATGTTTATATATATAAACTTCAATTCTACATAGAGCCATAAATATACTGTATTTCTAAATAGAAGATGATGTAGTAAAGTTAGTGCATCATTTTTAATGCATAGAACATGAATGGAGAAAATATTATTTATTTGTATTAAGCTATATAAATTCTCATTAAATAAGATTTTTTGGTAAAATATTTTATCCTTTCTTTACCTCTTTTAAGAAAATTTTATACAACCAAATAGTGTAAATAAATATTTTGCATGATTCACGAACGTCATTTGGATAGAAGCCAAATGGTTTATGGTGCAACAACAGAGTACTTCAATAATAATTATTATTTTATCAACTTGTAAAGAGTCAAATTAAAGATTAAGTAAATTGGAAAAATAATTTGCAATTTTTGTTGCTATTTTTAGCTTGTTTAAGAACACGAGACGATCGGATAATTCAGAGAAGAATTTGAAGCTAAAGTAATGTTACACTCAACGTAACTGTACTCTTTACTAAAGTTAAAAATATCATGGTTATAATTGTTAAAATTATTTTACAAGATAGTAGAGAAGTTAAACAATAAAACGGAAGTAAAATCGCAATTAAAATAAATTGCATATTTTAATTGTTTAATTAAAAGTTTTGTAGTAAAGGAATGAGTCGAAAATTAATTGAAGGTTAATCAAGTGTAAGTAAGTTATGAGACGTTTAACGAATAAAATTTAAATTGTTGTTAAAGAGAATTTAAAAGTTAATTTATAAAATGCAAATTTATAAATTTAATTAAAGAAATACAATTTATTTTAAGAAAAAAGTAAAGGAAAACTGTTTGTTTATATCCTTCCACATGATCTTTATTCCACATAGAAAAGGATAAGTTAGGAATTTTCTGATTTCTTGGAACTCGATAATTTCAAACTATAATATTTTATACAATTCTCAACGTATTTTCTTGTCTACTTTTCTATATAAGTTCAAAAAATAAATAAAATAAAATAAATTTATAGATAAATATAGGATAGTCTAAACCCATATTCTTGTTAAACGTTAGCAAAACGATCGCCTTCATTATTTTCTTTTTTAATGAATTACGTGAAAATAAACTGCAATTAATCTTCTTCTGGTTAAATTACGCCAAAAGCTAATGTTAAAACAACTTTAATTACATTTATAGCTATGTGGTTTTAACTTTTTGTAAATTGCTTAAGTTTATATGAACGATTAAAAGTCATTATCTTAAACATGTTTCTGTGTTCATTATCTGAACAAAATTTAACTTAATACAGAATAAACATATAATATCAGGTTCTTTATATAAATATGACTTTTATTAATGTTAATTAACCTTTTTATTGAATATATCCTTATATATATATTTTTTAAATTTCAAATGTTAATTATATTTATCCTTAAGAATATTTGTAATTTATAATATTTTCATGAAAATCTTTAAGAATTTTTCTACAGAATATTCTGATACAATTCGTTACATTTGCTTTATCATATAATCCTGATATTAAATTTTAACAACATTCTCATAATGTTAGAATATATACGACCTTTTTTTTATAATAAACATAAAATACAGTTTAAAAACGCAGTATATTAAAATTCTTTAATGCATCTGCTCATTGCATTAAATATTCTCCACTTTTCTTCTCCGGTCNTAAACCAACGACTACCACACTAGTAATTCGGTACACGGGGGAAGAAATATATGCGACGGTTTGCATATAATTTTGTACATATTCATTTCAACTTGCACAACCCGGAGAAATATTAATTAACCCCGGAGCCCGGAGATAACTCACTCAATCCCGGAGTCTCCGGATCAAACCCGGACAGGTGGCAACCCTACTACCTGGCCACCCAATTGTGGGCCTGACCAAGTAATGGGCTTTCCGAAAAAGACCGTCTAGTGTCCATAGGGCGGAATTTTTAAAAAATGTTATATAAAAACAATACAGACGATAAACTTATGAATCTTTTATTTAATTATTACAAAAATTTTGAATTGTTTAAGCCCTTAATTAATTAAAAACAAAATATTTTTCCTTATGCATACTTCTAAACATTGCTCCTCCCTTTTATATTAGTATGTCTCCATTATATGGCACAATGGCGGCATACAAAAGGATTATAATTTACTTGACTCAATACATTCACAACACGTATTGTATATTGTCGCTTTTGCATTGTCATTATTTAATATATTTGATTTGAGTTAAAACTGAATAGAACAATAAAAGATTAGAATAATGTACAGTACCATACATTAAATCACTAATTCTAACTTTACAAACAGATACAATTTTCTATTTATTTTGTTAAATTTATTAAAATTATTTCATTTAAGCACGAAATTTATTTTATTTTAATAAATTTATTCAAAATTAACTGACGTGGCCTCAATTTTATTTTAAAAAAATGTTTCGCTGTGACGTCATTAGCTAATAAACCTGTTACGGAAATTGGATTTTCTTGATTCGTTTTTCTGTTTACTTAATTAGAATATTTTAAAATACCTTTTTTCATTTTTAAAATATAATATTAAATAATTACTTATTCAATTAAATCAGCAAAAGTTAAAAAAATATATGGTTAAATAATAAGGATACAGTTTTCTGATAAGTGTTGCCAGCTTAGATGATTATATCTGGCAACNTAAAATATAATATTAAATAATTACTTATTCAATTAAATCAGCAAAAGTTAAAAAAATATATGGTTAAATAATAAGGATACAGTTTTCTGATAAGTGTTGCCAGCTTAGATGATTATATCTGGCAACGTTAATTAGTTGAAAAATTTTCAAATAATCACAGTAAATTATTGTTATATAGAAACTTTAATTATGTTTCATTCATTATAAGTTAATTCCCATTAATAATAAAGTTATTAATAACAAATAAATGCTAATGAAACTGAATACAGTTACATTTGGACGACAGAAAAATAAAATATTCTATTTATAATGTAAAAACTAAGAATAGTATCAAATGCATTTTAAAAATAAATAGAGAAATTAATTTTTAAATATAAAAAATTTCATATATTTCAAAGAAAAGTTTTGATAATATTCACCTAAAAAGCGACGGACTCGCTCGTATCCAAGTATATACTGTATATAAAAATGGATGAAGCGGCGGAAAGTAGGGTGTGAAGTACTACAACAATAAATGATTATATTGCATGATAAAATATTGAAGCCAAATTCTTGGCATAATATAACATCACATAAATATAATGTGAAAAAGTTTTTTACGTAAACAATCATAAATTTAGAGAAATTGCTATAAAAGAAACCATCTGTTATCGCTCTATATTAAGAGGCATAGAGAAAAATAAACAGAAATATAAAGAATTTTTTGATATTGTAAGTAAAGCTTACAATTTATATATTAATTATTTTTAAAATTCTAAGAATTCCATGCTTTATTACAGCATAAAAGTACATTGAACTTATGAAGTAACTAAGTTTTATTAGTTAGAAGGCACTTTAAGACCTACATAAAGAGTAGAAACATCGATAATGGATGTGCATGCGGGTGGTATTTCATTGCACTAAGTATAATTGGAATCTATGAAGTGGATTTGATGATTTTTATGAGTGAAGGCATTCACTTATCAGTAAGCTTATATAACATATAGACTAAACAAACCGTGTTCTTTCAAGTATCTAACATTTCCCATTTATAACTTAATAAAACTATTTACCAAATAAAAAATGGGCAACATTTTTATATAAATTTTACTTTATTTTTCAATTTTTCTTATACTGTGATATAATGTAATGTATTTTCCTGTTGTTAAACCCGAAAAATACCATTGTAGGACAGAGAAAAATACCATTGTAGGATAGTTTATTTTACATATTTTAATATTGATTATAGAAGAGAATTCATAATTTTAGTTTTTGGATGTTCATAAAGGTAAAGAGGTGGGGGAACCGAAATCTAATCCGGGGTTGAAAGACCCCAAGAAGTTTTTCAGGGGATAATATATCCGGGATATATTGGGTCCAGTCCCTCGCCATCAAGCCTTTTCTTTTTTCAGGCCCATCGTTGGCCTGAAAAAAGGCCCACGATGGTGAGTAGTGAGTAGTGAGTAGTAGCCTTTTAGCGCCCATAGTGAGTAGCCAGGCCCATCGTGGACCTGGCTACTCACTATGGGCACTAAAAGGCTTTTTCCAGCTGTGGGCGCTAAGTTGACCCTTTTCAGGCTCTCTTAGCTCCCACAGGAAGGAAAGAGTTAAAGAAAAACAGCATTCTTCATAACTTTGAATAATTCTACGTGTTCTATAAAAAGTTTTAAAACAATACAAAAACCTGTTTTAGAATGGAAACGATTTCAATTTTCGGGATCAGTATCAAATTTTGTATTCAAGAAGTATATTAAGTAAGTATTTTATATTCTAGAGCGAACTAAAAGTCAGTTCTAAGTATCGTAAAGTAGCAACAAAGAATTGAAAATGACCTAAACCAATAATATAAAAAAACTAATAAAAATAAATTCTAGAGCATTTATTATATAAAAGTAGAAAAAAATTTATTCGTTAAAGTAATAAAATATTTCAATTCATCGAAAGAATCTTTAATAAATCCAGAGCTTAAGTATAGAGATTTTTATGTAGGCTACACGACGTTGAAGAATGTCAAATAATAGGAGAATAAAAGTATATTTATCACTTTCAACAATTAATTTGTGTTTTTTCCTCAATTCCTCCTGTTAAAAATAAATATGTATATATTAGAAAAGGCATATTGATTGTACCTTTAATGGGAAATCTTTTTGCATTCCAACAGCATAAGCATCATCAAAAATAGAATCTCCCAGGAGATGTAATCCGCATCCTGGATCATTGCCCCGAAAGTAATTTAAAACGGCCGTATCACCAATCAAAACATCCAATTCACCTTTTCTATAGAAGAAAAAGATAAAATATTTGACTTAAAATAAAGCAAAGTTGAGAAAAAATTCATTTTTTTTATTGTAGAAGCAAAACTTCAGAAGAGTTTAATGTTAAAAGTACGAAAAATAAAACGAAGTTCTTGATGTGTATTGATATCGACGGCGTACAAGAATCGATTTTAATGATAATCGAAACATATAATCGTACATAAACACTCAATATCTAGTTGAAACCAGATGTCACACTTGCTCTTCCAGATGTAAAGTATTGAACGATAATACGATAACGTAACTTTTATTTATAAGCAAGTAGATGATAAATAACACCAGATAGATAATTAAAATTAAAAATAATAGGTAATATCTCATTTTCTAGAAGGTGTCGCTTGAAATTTCAATAATAGTTCTAAATATAGAAAGAATCTTCATCACAGTCCATGTGATATGAGTGCATCCCGGAACAAATACCCTTTGTCAGGTCACCGGAAAGGAATCGATTGAAGATATTGTCAAACCAAATCGTTTTATTTTATTTTATTTTATTTTTTCTGCTTAGGAACGACACGTGACATCCAGATAATGATGGTGTCCTCCTCTGCTTCATTGTATACGTATATACAGTAGTAGCAAATAACCTAAGGGATGTTTTATTTATANTAAATAATTATTATTATTATTCAATCGTTTGACACGTTTTATAATAAGATTTTTACACGCTTAATTTTTGTAGATAATTACATTCGCGTGCTTTATTTTCTTCACTTAATTTATCTATTGTTTAATTATTCTAAAAATAAATGATAAATTTCGCTTTAAGACAATTTAATATTATAAAAATAAATGATTCTGAAGAAAATTGCATACAAAACAACGGCCACCTCCGGACATCGAGTAATTTTTCAGGAATATTTTAAAAAGAAAATTGCATACAAAATAACCTGAAAAACAATGGTCACCTGTGAACAACGGCCATTTATTTTTCCGAATTTTTCTTTTCTTTTAAACAAAATTGCATACAAAATAACCCGCAGACAACGGCCACCACCGGAACAAGGGCCATTTGATTACGTTATGTCAGTGGCCGTTATTCACAGGTTCGACTGTATTTCCTATCTCTATGAATCTATAAGTTAAGTGAAAATAAAGTTTTATAAATTTTTCAGTATGAAATTTAATTAACTAAATTTAATTTAAATACTTTTTATAATAATAAAATTAATATCTTCTATGGGAAATTAACTAAAATGTATCTTTTATAAATTATATTTTGATTTAAAAAAATAAATTATTTTTTTAATAAATTAATTTTAAAATATTTTCTTATATTGTTAACTGTATTCTAACTAGATTAAATATATATAAATTAATTAATAATTTATTTTAAAGAATTATTATTATACAGTAATCATACAGATATAGGTACAGGTAATCATAATTAAAGAGAAGGTATTCAGAACCATCTTTGTAGAACGAACTATTGGGCAAATATCAACCAAATTTGTTATATACAATGCCCTAAGTATGTGGTTTTGATTTTCGGAGAAAAAATTTTATTTTAAAATTCATCCGCTAGGGCGAAAGTCGGCGCTTTTATTCTCATAAAATGTATATTCCGTACATTTATCTAACAAATTTCGGATATGAAATGGGTGGAAAAGAGCTTATAAAAAGTTCTATGATTGTAAGGAATCTTAGGAAATTGACTGTGCTTTTTGAGAAGGCTAGCATTAAGCAGCATCAAATTCGCCCTAGCGGCTAAATTGAAAGTAATTTTTTTTTGAAATCGAAACCGTATACTCAGGCCAGTGTACATACCAAATTTGATTGAGATTTGCCTAATAATTCTTTCTTTAGAGCGCTCTGAACACGTACTTTTTAATTATGATCAGTGATTATCCTATATTATTGACTTTTGTATAATATGGAAATATTATATAAATATTGAGTGTTTTATATTCTATAGAATAATGCAGTATATTTGTTCCATTCTATATTATATAAATCAAAGGGCAAATGTATGTTGACCTTCTTATATACTTTCACCTCACTGTTTAAGTGCATAGAATTATTATTATTCTCCATACTTCTAACTCTTAACAATTTCAGGATTTTGAAGTTTAATTAATGAAAAATAATTGTCAATTAATAATTTGAAGAAAACACCAATAATCAATATAAAATATGTTATAACTATTCTAATGCTTATGAATTACCCTTTATAGAACAATTGAAGGATATAAAAATTTGAATTTTTCATTAAAGAGAAGAGATTTACATAAAATATGCTAATAAAGACCAATTTAAAAGATATTTTATTATTATTATTTTTTTCGGAAAATTCTTTCGTATGGATTAACATTTCGACGGACAAAGTAAAACAAAATGTAGTCTACTTTTAAAAACATCTTCACTTCTAAGTTAAACAAAGTTCCTTTTCCTTAATTATCTGGGTATTTTTTCTTCTAAAAATAGGCAAAAAGATGAGGAAGAAAGAGGATGAAGAGAAGGAAGATAAATAGGAAAAGAGAAGAGAAAAAGTAGAAGAATAGAAAGGAAAAAGAGGAAAATATGACAAAGAAAGAAAAGAAAAGGAAGAGAGGAAAAAAAAGAGAAAGAAGAAAGGAAAGAAAGAGGAAGAACAAAAGAAGAAAGGAAAGGAAAGTGAGAGAGAAGAAAAACAGCGAAAGAAAAAAAATGATAAAGAAAAGAAGGAAAAGAAAGAAAAGACAAAAGACGAGAGAGAAAAAAAAAAGAAAAGGAGAAAAGGAAAAAGTGGAAAAGAGAAAAGAAGAGAAAGAAGGAGAAGGAGAAGGAAGAGCAGAAGGAGAATTTACGTAAATATTTATAAAAAAAAAATTTGTTTAACTTTATAAAAAAAAAAAAAAAAAAAACAGTTTTTGCTTTATCTTTGTTTAAAAGGATATTTCGAAACTACAAACGCTCATTTTGATAAATTATATTCATTTTAAAATGTATGCAATCTATTATTTATATTTTCAAATAAAAACGATATTTAGTTTATCGAAGATATTCAACTGCTGTTAAACTAAGCAAAAATAAAGGTAATTTGATATCAAAACATATATTATACAAATGATTTACGTTATATAATAACTCCCTCTTTTATCATGATTATTTTACATTCAAACTATTCATTTGAAAATATATTTATTTGCGTACTCGAATATCTTAGCGATAAAAATTAATAAATACATTTTAATATGATTTTAATAATTTAATACGATTTGAATTTTTCTTAAAGATAAAAATATAAAAATAAGGCTTGAAAGAAGGACTTAAAATTAGTATAAAGCCTTATAGACTTCAATAGTCTATAAGGCTTTATACTAGGCGAACCTCCAGTAACGGCAAACACCTCTAAACAGCGACCAGAGACGGAAACATGAAAAATGTCCGTTGTTCAGAGGTGGACATTTTTTGAAATTGATTTTTTATTCACTTCTGTTCCTAAAAATGGCAGCCGTACAGAAATGACCGTTATTGGAGGTTCGACTGCACAAATAGTCATGTTTTCTACTAATTTTCATAGAAAAGTTAATTAAGTATAAATAATTTGAAGTAGATCTCAACTTCTAAAACCTATTTTGTCGGTCGCGTCGTAAAGCGAACCTTTATTTGACATAAGGTCAGTGTCATAACTTGAGATTACGTTCCGGAAAATGACATTTGAAGTATGTAAATTCTTGTATTAAACAGAGATTAACAAGAAATTACGCTTTAATGGAGTACATAAAGGGTAAGGTAAGATAAGAGTACGCAGTTTTAAAATTTTGTCTTATTAATACTCTACTATGAGGATTAATTTGAATTTGATAACTACCAATTGACTCTTGAAAATGCTCTTGATAATATAATGCGTGGTAAAATCAGAAGGAAATGTTTTGAAAATAACGGGAGATAATAAAAAAAAACCTTTGTAAAATGTTTACTCTTAGAAATAGGGCAGATAAGAAAACTCAGTATGGGTCCCTTTATAAATAATTGCTAAGTTGTAACTGTACTTGTCCATTGGATTTTATGATGCTGTTACGTAATAATAATAAAATAGTTCTCTTTCTTTTTCTTTCTTTGACTCTCTCTTTCACTTCTCTTTCTCTTTGATTCTCTCTCTTCCTCTTTTTTCCCTCTCTCTCCTCTCTCTTCCTTTTTTTTGTCTCTCTCTTTCTCTTTCTTTGTTTCTCTGTTTCTCTCATCCTCTCTTCTTTTTTTGTCTCTCTCTTTCTCTTTCTTTGTCTCTGTTTCTCTCATCCTCTCTTCTTCTTTTTTTGTCTCTCTCTTTCTCTTTCTTTGTCTCTGTTTCTCTCATCCTCTCCTCTTCTTTTTTTGTCTCTCTCTTTCTCTTTCTTTGTCTCTGTTTCTCTCATCCTCTCTTCTTCTTTTTTTGTCTCTCTCTTTCTCTTTCTTTGTCTCTGTTTCTCTCATCCTCTCTTCTTCTTTTTTGTCTCTCTCTATCTCTTTCTTTGTCGCTTCACTCTTTTCTGATAAATTATTTTGATTTCTTTTTACATTTACAAACGTGAAAAAATTTGGAATAATCAGGTAACAAGTTACTAGCCTGATAAAATAATTTGATTGATATTTTATGAATCATTATTTTTTTGTGTGGTCAAGTGAAAGTTTAGATAAAAGGAATAATTATTGGAATTACTGGTTATATTGATTTCTATTAAAGCAAATATTTTACATTAAAAGAAAATTCTTGTAATGAACTGGTATGGAAACGAGTAGTAATCAAATAGTTTTAAATTGTAATTTGTAGAGTTATCTGGTGTAAAGTCAAACATGCTTATGGTTGAAATATTTTCAAGCACATTTTTTAATTGAAAACAAATTTCCGAGCAATTCAATTGTAGAATTTAAAAAGAAGTTTGTTATGGTTTGAGATAAAATATCTGGATTGCTCCGGAGCCCGAGATCCAATCCAAGAAAAATCCAGAAATTTTCGGGGTTGGCCCATCTGGATATGTCGGAACTCGTCCCTCGTGCCAG